GACAGAAAGCCTGTATTTGCTGGCAGGGAAAAGGGCTAAAGAAAGCTAATATGTATGGAATACATTTTGGGCCAGGTACTGTGCTAAGTCCTGAACTTGATAGCTAATACCCTGGTAGGGAGCTGCCTGGACCAGGTTTAGGGAAAGCAATGGAATAGGGTGGGGCGGCAGCAATCATATTACACCCAACTTTTGGTCCTGGATCACATCCTCAAGGCCCAGGGAGGTATCAGTGAGCCCTGAGATGCCCTGCCCCTGTGTGGGTTACTTATGGGCCACCTGGGCGCCAGATGAGATAGAAGCCAGGGCAGAAGCTATGGGCTGCTGTGACCTTAACAGACTGAAGGGATTTTACTATATTTTAATAGCTGTAAATGGTTTGAAACTACACGTGTCATTACCTAGGAATGGTTCCACCATTTCTTTTTAAGATTTTATTTACTTATATTTTTTGAAGTAATCTCTACACTTGAATTTACAACCCCCTGAGATTGTCGCAGGCTCCACTGAATGAGCTAGCCAGGTACCCTATTGTTCCATCATTTTTGTGAACTGATGTAGAGACACTATACAGAATAATGCTTGGATGGGTAATCTTTGAAGTAATCATTTACATTTTTTTCCTGCTGTATTTCTCCTTTGCCTTTGCCCCACCCCCTTCCCTTCAAGGAGAAAGAACAGATCCTGGTTTTGTTTTTGTCTTTTTTGGGGAGAGTATTGCCGCAAGGCTGAAAGCAGAAGTTGCCTGCAAAACATTTTCCTTTCTGTCTCTGATGATTTTAAACCGGAGGGGAGAAGAATATTCCACCCCCAGATATGCCTCTTTGGCATAAGGATTATTTTAGGCTGATTATTATTTTTTTAAAACAGCAGGCATGAGAGAAGCTCTGAAAACCAAGCAGAAGTTACACTTTTGTATGAGACATTTACATGTAGAAGGGAAATCTCCACTTGTAAGGGTGTCTCCCTCTGTACTAGGAAGAGAAGCGTGACTCTGAGTCTCCAACTTTTCGAAGTGAAGAAGGCAAGGACTTAACTGTGCATAACAACTCTACCCTATTTACTGCGCTTTTCCTGGTCACCTCCCATACCTGGTCTCCGGGTACCTACATCTTTTATCTTTAGTGGAGATATTATTTAAGGGAATGGCTTGGGCCATTTCAGAGAGTTCCTCAGTTTTCTTGGGTCTCTTTCATGGACATGAGGGGTTGGCATGTTACTAAATTTTTGTTTTTCTCTCATTAATCTATCTTTTTATTACAAAAGTGTCTTAGCCAAGAACCTAGAAGGGTCGAGGGAAAATTATTTTCCTCCCACACAAAACCTACACCCGTAGAAAAGTAAAATTTGTGAGTCCTGGAGCAGTGGGGAAGGTAGCATCCCAAAAAAGGTAATCTGTATGTAGATGGGGACATGGCCAACCTCACTACAGACCCAGTGAGGTAGGAATTATTATCTCTGGTTTACAGACTGAAGTCTGAGACAGACTGATGGTGCAGAGTAACATGAGGAAACATGCCTATTACATCATTGAGAAATACGGGACAGATCCTTGTCTCCTAGAGCTGAGCTCATCCATGGATTCTGGTCCTAAGTATTTATCTAGACTGGGACTCTCACTTCCCCAGCAGAACCTGCAGTGCAAACTTTTTGTTCTTACTTCCTCCTCTCCATCTCTTGTTTTTTTTTTTTTTTTTTAATTTTTTATAAGCATATATTTATTTTTTCCCCAGGGGTACAGGTCTGTGAATCGCCAGGTTTACACACTTCACAGCACTCACCATAGCACATACCCTCGCCAATGCCCATTCTTGTTTTTTTTTTTTAAATATTTTTTATTTTTTTTAAAGATTTCATTTATTTATTTGACAGAGAGAGAGAAAGATCACAAGTAGGCAGAGAGACAGGCAGAGAAGGGGTGGGGAGCAGGCTCCCTGCTGAGCAGAGAGCCCCATGCAGGGCTCGATCCCAGGACCCTGAGATCATGACCTGAGCCGAAGGCAGAGGCTTAACCCACTGAGCCACCCTGTGCCCCTCCATCTCTCATTTAAATTAAAAATTACAAAGAGTAGTAAGGATCATTTGAGATAGCTTAAATGTCATCGAAATGTTATGCATGAGCTCAAAGTAACAGAATTATGTTCTCTGATTCACATGTATTTTGTGGTCAGTTGGGGCCCTCAGAATTTTTTTTTTTTTCCCAACATTTGTTCATTGTGGTGTCTAAATGTGGTGTTTCTCCTGATGGGACGAGGGCTCCCAAATGTGGAGCAATGATCAGGGTAGAAGCCAGTGACACTGACAGTGAAGGAATTCACCTGAGGCAGAGCAAAGGAGATAGGAATTTATTGACTATACTGCAAGGGAGCACTGGGCAGGATAGCAGAGGAGAGACTGTCTGCAAGGAGGCAGTGGGTAGGGGCTGTTTTTCTTGGGAGGGAGGGTCAGAGGTGGAAGGAGAGAGATAATCTTAAGCAAGCTATGCCCAGTGTGGAGCCCCATGAGGGGCTGGATCTCACATCCCTGATATCATGACGTGAGCCAAAAATCAAGAGTCAGATGCTTAACGAACTGAGCCACCCATGTACCCCATGCGTGGGGGACTGTTTATAAAGGGGGAAGATGAAGAGATATGGCAAAGTGTGGAATTTTCCCTCTTTTGGCATTTGTGCCTGGTAGTGGTAAGTAACCCATTGGTCAGATAGGCTCATGGCTATTTTGAGCTGGGGGTCACCTAATGGACCTGTGTGTATTCAGCAAATTGGTTGCTGAGGGCCCTTTCTGTACTCCATTGCTCAAGCCTGCTTGCCTAAAAGCAGCCTCCACACTCATGTTTGCCCTTCCTATTTTTGTCTGTTTAGATGACTGATCTTCTGTGGAGTAAGTACTGTTGGTATAAAATAACAGGTAAAATGTAATTGGAATTATACCGAGAAAGCATTCTCATGTCCCACTCCTTGAAACCAAGAGTCAGATGCTTAGCTCCACGGAATGAGCTAGCCAGGTACCCCATTGTTCCATTATTTTTGTGAACTGATATAGAGACACTGTACAGCAGTATGTTTCTCGTTTAGAAGGAAAAAGTCATTTCTCTTTCTGCCCCAAGAGAGCAAGAACAGTTTCTCCAACCCCAGAGCATCTAAGCTGCTATTTATGTGGTATGCGTTCATGATCAGAAAATACAAACTAGTAAGTGTATGCTTGTCACGTTCTGATAACCTGTATTAAACACTTAGCTCATTGCTCATTTAATAAAAGTTTACCCTAGCAGTCAGATTGACAGTTGTCTCTGTAGTCTATATGCACCTCTGTTGGTCTGGGATCTGGGCATTCTCCTGGTGAAGAACAGATGCTACCCATTGCTGCAGGGGCTGAATTTAACTGAACTGGATGTCAAAGCTACCGTAGGTAGATGGCAGTATGGTTCAATTCCCCACTTCGTATGTAGCCAGTTAGGAATTTTAAACCCATCTCTGTGGTCTGCTGTCAAGTTACTAAATCTTTTAGAGTCTCAACTTTCTTATCTGTAAAATGGGAAAGCATTGGCTGCCCCAGATATTGTATTAAATAAGACAATCTACTTAGTAGGGGACTTGACACAATAAATGGAGACAGATCAAATTCTATGCAGCAATTACCACGAGAGTAGAAGAGAGTGGAGAGCTCTTTAAAAAAAGCTGAATTAAGCCAACATTTCACTAACTAAAATGTTACTGACAAATTATTCATCGATTTCAAAAGATTCTCTTCTCTGACATTATGGGAAGTTGAAAATTAATTTAATTAGCTGCACCTCTCACAGATCCTGCCTGAAACCCCAGGTTAGTGTATTTTGGTATGTCTGCAGGGGGTTTACTTTGCGCAGAGGGGAATAATCTAATTTTGGCGACTGTAATAAAACTGGGTTAAAATGCTGTACGCTAGGGCAGTACCCAAACTCCTTGGCGGCCGATGCTATTATGGAGGACAAAATGCATACATAGTGTCTGCACTCCGGCGGAGTTCAAGTCCTGAAGGGCCTTGAGAGGAGAGATGTAGGTCCTTCAAGGAGAAAGGTTCGTAACAGGAAGAATCCCCCTAACTTTCCAGTAGGGAGCCATTGCCCTCATAAAGGGCGGGGACTCTTTAAGGGGGGTGACCACGTGGGGTCAGGAGCAGCCCAGTGGGGCTGGCTCAGGGAGGATTCATCTGTCCCACTACGTGTCCTGCAGCCCTACTGTGTGTCTTGGGACTGGTGCCCAAAGGTCTGCTGCCCATTGGGCGCACGGAACAAGTCGGCCTGCTCTCCCGAGACCTTCCTTAGCCAGACAGCCGGGGCAAGCCGGCTCCTCCCGGCGCGCCAGCCGGCCAGCCAGCCGTCTCTCCGCACTTGGAGTTCCCTGTCCGGCCGGCGGTGGGCGCGCGCCCCACCAGGCCCTAGCCCGCCGCCTTGTGCTGAGCCGGCGGGCCCCGCGGTGCCTTGGGGTCCCGCGGCTTCCGCGCCCGCACGCCCCCAGCTCCGTGCACGCAGCCTGCAGAGGTTGGTGCGGCTCGCGCACTCGCGGTCGAGACCGGCCCACCTGCCGGCAGCACCGCGGCCCCCGCCGCCCCCGCGGCCTGGCCGCACGCCGGGTCCCCGCCGCGGAGGGGGATGGGGAGGGAGGAGAGACTGGAGGAGTTGGAGACAGACAGAGCCTCGGCGAGCACAGTTACGGCTGGAGACAGAAGGCGGCGGGAGGCGGAACACTCCCCCCCTCCGGCGACGGGAGGCGGGACACCTCCCTCGGCGGCTGCAGCACCGTCTCCCTCCTCCCTCCTCCTCCCGGAGGCTGCGGGCCGGGCCCGGCGGGACAGGCAGGCGATTGCGGCTGGCCCTGCCCGCCCCGCGCGCCGCCGCGGCCGGCCGGGGATCCCCTGCTAGCCGGGGAGGAGCCGCCGCCGCCAGACAGGCTGCGAGTCTCTGGGAAAGTGAAAGGGGGGCGGGGAGCGCGGGGGAGGCCCGGGGGTAAGGTCCCCGGCTCTTAAAGAGACCCGGCGTGCCGCGCCGCGCTCCCCGCCGACCCGCTGCGCGCCCCCCGCCGCGGCGGCCCCGCATCCTGCGCCCCTCCCCCGCGGCCAGCAGGGCCGGTGGCCCGGAGGGCCGCAGTACGAGCGGTCCCCCGCCTCTGCTCCAGAGGGACGGCCGCAGGTGAGTGCAGATCCGAGGTGGCTGTTGTGGTCTCGGTGTCTGGCCCAAGTTCAGCGCGGCGCTGGGGCGGGAAGGGGGGAGGCTGGGGAGGGCAGGGGGCGGAGGACGCGGGGACAGGACGCTCCGGGAACGGGACGTCCGCGAGCCTGCGCCGTCGGCGGGGGCGGGAGGGAGCTGCGCAGCCCCGTGAGTCCTCCCCAGACCGGCGAGTCCCCAGGAGACGAGTTCTCCAGGTCTGAGGCTGTGTAGTCCGTGGGCACGGCGGCGTCCTGGGGCGCTCGCCCGGGGCGCGTGTCGGGAGGGCGACCCGGCACTCCGAACCGAGGCGCCGCCGCCTCTGCTTGTGTGCTCTGCTGGAGGAACGCTGCCGACCTATTTCTCGGTGCCCGGCGCGGGGTGTCCTGCGGTTGCAGGACCTAATTCTGCACCGCGGGGAGGCCGGGGTAAGCGCCGCGGTAACTGCCCAAACTGAGGTCTCGGTTCCCTGGGGCCTGTCAGCGAGCCACTGCAGGCGGTGGGGTGGGGTGGGGGGGACTGGAGGTCAGCGGGAAGCGGGAAGATCGTGCAGGACCTTGCTGGGGAGTTTGCGGGAAGGAAAAGGGGCGGGAGCGGGCCGTACTCTGAACCCTGCATCCCGCTGCTGGACAGCCCGCAGCCCGCGGCTCCGCACCCCGGGACCCCGCAGGTCGCGCCCCGCTTCCCTGGGGCCCGCCTCACCCGGCGTCTGCCCGGGTCCCCCAGCGCGCGTTGACGTCGGTCGCGGGGCCGCTCGCAGCTCCCGGCATTGGCTGGAAGTCGATTGTCTCCCGGCGGCTGCTGTTCCACCCAGGCTGGGTCTCTGAGCCCCGGAGGAAGCAGGCGTGTGTTCAATTTCTCTTTGACCCTTAACGGTGGAATAAACAGGAAACGACGAGCACCCAGCCCGGGCTCAGCACTTGTCTTTGTTGTGGGGTCCTCTATGCACAGTGACGAGGAGGCGTCCCTGGGACCCCTGCCGGGTGCGCCGCCCGGAGTGGCGTTGGGGGCGAGCCGTGTAAGTACGCGGCTGGAAGACAGTGGGCTCGATTCAAGTTAATTTGCTGGGGTGGTGGAGAGGGCATTTGCTTGTTTCAAAACTTTTTTTTTTTTTTTTTCATTGGAAAAGGAAGACTTAGCTTCCCGTTGAGGCAGAGATTTTCAGGAGGACGACACGGAGCATGGTGGGTGGGTGGCACCTGGAGAAGACGCGTCAGTCAGTGCCCTGGTTCCCGGTTTAGCTGGCGGGGCACCGTGCAGACGGTCAGAACAGCGAGAACTCTTTAAAGCAAGAAGAGCTTCCTTGCTCCTAGCCCGGCACGGGAATGATTGCTGAGTGGCATTGGCCACATAAGCTAGCTTAATTTTTGTTTTCCCCAAAGAGTCTTTTAATTAGCTAGAATTGTGTAATTTTGATTTGCTTCTTTTCTCTTTCTCTGTGTCCCATCTCTTACCTTCTCTTTTTTTGCGATTACTTTGGCTTCGATATCCCCAGACCCTACTTACAGTTCAGGGCTGCTTTCTACAATGTCAGTTAATTACTGTGATAAATATTCATTGATGACCTACTGTGTGCTGGGCATTGTAGGCTGTGAGGTGAGATAAGCTATTAGAGGATGTTGAGTCTGAGAGTTACTATAAGTAAGTTTCTTGCAGTGGAGGTGGGTAGAGATGGTCAGCAGCCTTGGTTCTTAAAAATATATAGGTCCCATGGCTGGCATGGAGTTGGTGCCTTCCTTTACAGGTAGTACTTGGAAACCTCCCTTTAAGATGGCCCTTTCCACTTGTTTGGCTAGCCAAGAAAGATATTCTTCCATTTGTATTTTGCCTGGAGCTTCTGGACTGAGCTTTGCATTGACAAGGAATGTTCTGTAGAAACTGCCACTGCATCAAGCCATGTTCTGCATTTTGTATGTGACTATTTAGTTCTTTCTAGTATTTATATTGAATTTCCTGTCATCTATATATCTGTCTTTGTGCTCGGCACAGTTCCCTTGTAACATATTCTTTATGTTTGGTAAAGGATCATAATGTCAAATTTGAGTCATTACATAAACGAACGAATAGATCTGAATATTGCCCATCCCATGCACAGTTATTGAATTATAATATTTGGTTTCCTATCAACCCTTGAATGCTATTTGATGGCCCTTGCAAAGCAGTGCTTTTTACAACATGGGTAAATGCCTCATGATCTTTGAAAGCTTCATTCTTTTAAGAGCTTCACTTTGCAATTGACATTGAACACACTGTTAGGAATTAGGGCCAAGACTGTAAATCCCGGTTAGGATGTGCTGTAATGGAGTTGTAGCTCCTTCCTCCCTTGTTTTAAAAAGACTTTTTAAATTTCTTAACATTCTTCTGTTGCCCTTGGAAGAGTTTGCTGTCACTGGCCATGGGTTCTAGTTCATGTAGGTTTGTATTTACTATGGAGAAGACTTTTCCCACAGGGTTTTAGGACGGTCTCTTGAATCCTCTTGGGGGCTTGGTTTGCATGACCACAGTCCTGCAGAGGAATCCAGCCAGTGCCACCTGCTTATTAAGGGATTTTGTACCAATTTGTTGGCACATGATTTGAGAATCAAAGCCCCGCATCCTCCCCACCTCTCCTCGCCCCCTGCCATAGTATATACATACATAGACAAATATTTCCTCCCAACTGCTGACAGTGTTCTAAGAATAGTTTTCTTGTCTGGCGTGCTGAGAGCAAGGACCCATCTGCAGAGGTGTTTACAGTTTGGGACTGTGCTGTAGTCTTGGTTGACTTAGCAGCCTGCCAGAGTAGCCTTGTAGCTCATGGGACGCCGTCTGTTTTTCATCTGGGCTGCTGGAGGGGCAGTTCCCAGCTGGACAGGGCCTCAGAGAGAGCTGAGAATGACTTTTGCTCTATGAGGGTAGTTTCTGTCCTGATATCAAGCAGAGACCCTTAAGCTCTGTCTGGATCCCTTTGCTGTCACCTAGCTGTCAGTCACCCATGGTCTAGGCTGGAGAGGACTGCTCTGTGTAAACCCAAGCACTCTCAGGGCTGGGGCAGGGACACTTGGTTGTGACACTTGCTTGTCCAATCTCTTTGGTAGTTCTTGCCCTATTTCTTCTCATGTTTAATCATCTAGGCTTATGGAGTTTCTATGATGTGCCTGTCCTTTTGGGTGAGACTTAGTAGAGGGGCAATAGCTATAAAAAGATTATTCTATATTAACCTGGAAAGTTTTTAGAAATGTTAAACACACTTGATTTAGACACAGAGCTATTAAATACAAACAGTAGCAAAAATGCCCTGTAGTCCCATCTTGCCCTTTTGTCTCTTCTTCCTCTTTCTCCCTTCCTCCCTCTAGTCCGTCCGTCAGTCCTTCCTTCCTTCCTAACTTCCTTCCTTTTTCCCTTCCTCCTCCCTCCCTGCCTTTCTTCTTATCTCAGAAAACTCTTCTGGAAGCCATTATTTTCCGGTGTCAGAGTGACTTTCTGCCTACATGGGATTCTTTAGTCTAGAATTACACCTTGACCTATATTATGCGTGTGCATGGAACGTGAGTCTTACGTTTTAAAATAGGAACATAAAGTTTCTGTCTACTATTTGCAAATTTAGGCCCCAAGACCCACCACTTTTTTAGGAAAATTGTGTGTGTGTGTGTGTGTGTGTGTGTGTGTGGCGTTATTCGTTTCACTGTTAGGCAGCTGGAGTGAACAGCCCCCCAGAACCTGTACTATTAATTGCTACAGAAATATTGGATTCCTATTCCCAGTGACTATTGTTTTTTCCTCTGTCATAGGAGGAGTTGAAAATAGTGTTTGTGTTGTCTCATATCCATGTGAGATGGATTGTTTTTCTTTGAATTTCCACTAAAAATGGCACTTTGGCCTTTTAAGCTGTTTTTGTGAGGACTTTTCTTTCCACTAGGCTTGTTTTCCAGATAGGTCTTGGAAATTACGAAGAACATAGCTATAATTTCTCTCTTGATTGGCAGCTGAGAGCTTTCCTGAACAAAAATAAGGCTACACTGTGCCAAATGGTTGACTTTTCTAGAATAAAAACTCTAAAGGGTATGCAGAAAGTCCTCTGGTTAATATATTGGCATTCCCAGAACCCACTAAAACTCCGGCAGCCTGCCAGACACCACTTAATGAGGACGCAGAATGTCTGGCTCAAATCCCCACGAGCAGAAGGGGGTGGGGAGCTGATGTCCACACCCTTTATTAATTTTTAATGACTGTACTTTTGTTTTGCAGATTTTGCTCTGTACCCCCCTCACGACTGACCCCCACCACATCGCCCCTCCCCCCATCCGTTTATTTACTCATTTACTTGGCATCAGAAAAATGTTGAGACTTTCCAAGGTTAAGAATCCTGCTGAGGGATCACTTCTGTTTATGTCGGTGCTTTTGTCGTTGCTTTTCTTTCTTTTTCTCTCCTCCCAACCCTTTTTCAGACAAGGAAGAGAGAGAAGGAACAGAAAAAGAGATGACAACTTTCTATTTTTTTTTTTTTATGATGCTTTATTGTCTGCTGGAAGAGAACCATTTACGAAACTTTAAGTTTGTCAGACAGTTTATATGACAGTGCAAGTTGGTGCTTGCCAAGCTCCAGACAGATTGCTAATGTTACATGACAGGGATAAATGAATTACCGCTGTCTGCAACACGCTTGCACTGCAAACGCGCTCTGGAGCCGGTGTCCGGGCGCTGCGCACCCAGGGAGCCTGCTGGCTGTGCAGCTGGGAGGAAGGCCTCTCTGCCTCTTGCCTAGAATTCTGTGACTTGGTTCGGAAATGAAAAGGGTGTGTCTCTCGCTTTTATTTTTGGCAGGGCTGCAGGGTAGCAGAATGGATGGAACAGCTGTGTGTCCTTCGCGTCACTGGGCAGCTCTGCCCCCTTGCCTTGCCCTTCCCCTCCCCCTCTGGCCCCACCACATTCTTCCCTCTGCACCAGGGGGCATGGCACCTAGCCTTCCTCCCAGGGACCTGCTGCGGACAAAACTAAACGTTGTTCTCAGCTGCTCAGGCCTTTAGTGTTCCTGAAGCCAAGTTTCAAGCTGTTTACAGTTGCGTTCTTTCTGTAGGTGCAGACCTTGAGAACAAATTGTCTGAGATAAGTGTGTGTGTGTGTGTGTGTGTGCGCGCGCGCTGCCCTGGGAGGGGGCAGGGTGGCACTCCTTGGGCATAATGTACTTTCATCTCTGGCAATTTGGATAGTCAGCTGGCAGAGTGACAGGTGTAATGAACTTAATGGTCTTGCTCTAGTTGTTAGCGGACACACCGCTCATATTACAAAGCCACCTCCTAAGTTGGGCCCCTGCCAAATGACTTGCTCTTCTCCTTGCAGACGAGATTCAGGGCCTGGACTACTCCAGTGAACGTGAAGGTCAGGAATTAGGTGGGTGTGAGCAAACATCTGTGTGTCCTCATCCACATGGTCCCTAAATGGACCTCGAATTTCTCTTCAAAGTAAAAGTGTTGATTCATCTTGCAAAAAGGATGCATCCCAGCCACCCTCAGCTGGTCAGTCCTCCATGAGAGGTGTGGCAAGGGACCCTCTGTGTAGGTGTGTGGACTGCTTATCCTTGGGGTTTGCAGAATGGCAGGCTTCCTACTGGGCTTTGTCAGTTCTCAGCTGGCCGGTGGCCACTGATCTCCAGAGATGGGCCTGTGGCTGGTGGAGGCTCCACTGGGCATTGTTTTCATTGTCTGGGGCCCCAAGGGCCTGCAACCTCCCCAGAGGTGGGGAGGGGATTTCCATAGTAAAATCTCACAGCTTCCAGAAGGCAAGAGTGGAG